TCACTTTTGCCTTGACCATGAATAAATTTCTTAGCGCATATAAAACTATGTTTGTGACTATCAAAGTCATGATTATAAGCTACTAATGAGGTTAACAAACTTAGCTTTTTTGATAATACTAAATATGTTTATGTTTTATAAATAAACTTTGGGTAACATGAACTTCCTTGAATTTATGCTTACAATGATAGAAATTTTTTAAAATAGCATATAAAATAAATCATGTGAGCAATTTAATTTATAAAACAAATAGGCGAATGAGCAGCGGCTAAGATAAAGCTGTTGAAAGTAATTGCTTCGCACAACTATTAAAAAATACAAGTCATTAGCTGATATTTTGATATCAAATTTTAAATAAATTTAATGCATTTTGTTTTTTTATTTTTAGTGAGCAATGTATTTTATTTTTTGTAACTGAAGTGTAATAGTTTGAGACATCTGTTTTATCTATTATTTTTCATAAACATTTTTGTTGCAAATTGTTTAACCAAACAGGGGCAAAATGATCATTTATTCAACAACAGCTCCCAGTAAGCTGTTATGAATAAGCTACCTCAAAAAACAAGTCAGCTTATTCTGATAATCTGCAGATTATCAGATTATCAGAATAATCGGATAATCAACAGCTGTCCAAAACAGACCACTAATCTATAGGCTACACAACATTTCATATAGATGTATTGCCTAGGACAAACTAAAAATCAAACTAAAAATAGTTAAGGGCAAAATAAATATTACTCTCTCACCTGACATACCAAAAAGAAGGTCACAAGCAAGTTTAAGTATTAAAAGAAACTAATTTCCCTGAATCGAATCTATTGGGCAGTACCGACAATATTATATATATATGTATATATAAATTGCCCATGGAACCAATCATGATTATCATCACAATGCTGCTTTTGTTGTTGCTGTAATTTTTTATCATCTCGATCTATATATGCATCCAATTTTTCAAGATGAGAGAAATCCTTTGTCGAAGTGTACCAAGGATAACGATATGTTTGTTGTTCTTGGAAAAGTGATGGTGTTGCTGTTACTTCTTTTTGTTCTTCTTCACTACCATCAACCTTTATCACTTGCTTTCTCTCACCAGCATGCGAAGAGTGATCCAATGATTCAGGTATCAATGATTATATCTTAATTCAAGAATGCATGCAATCCTATTGTAAGATTGTCAACTACTAACTTTAGGACTGTGATTAGAGGCAAGTTTTGATCTAGTGGATAATTTTATTCATAACATTAAATTCAATTTGACTCGTGTACTAATAAGTAATCTACAAAAGAAGAGAATTTTCATCCTATCATAATCTTTGACAGAGTATTATGATGAAGTACGTATTGCATAACACAGGCATTCTTCACAAGGTAGATGTCCATTTGATAGGCAATGGGATAAGGGTGAGTTTCATAAAACTGTGTTTACATTTATCCTTTTAAAATACAAGTTGGTTAAAACTATACGTGGCATTTCCTTGTTAGTTGAACTGTCAAAAAAAGTATACAAATCATTATCTTTGATCTCAACTTGGGTTTTGTAAGTGCTGGAGAAATGGTGGAATGATTTAAGTCGATGCTAAGATTAAAAAAAATGCTAAGTTGATTTTGAGTGAAAATGTTGAGCGACTGAAATATGGAATTAGATGGTTCCCAAAAAAAAAAAAAAAAGTCATGGAGTAGGAGAGATGTTCTTGTTGTATCAGTTATGAACTATCTCTTGTGTAGGCAGTACACTTCATAATATTCCACTATCTGATATCTTAGGTCGTGTTGTTGAATTGGTGAAGAACCCGGTCTTTTTGACCATATGATCGTCTTTTAGAAACCACATAAGCTTTCTTGAAGTGGTGAGAATTTGGAAAGAAATGACTTCGTGAGGCTAGCACAATAGAATTCTTTTTTTTATAGCCTAAGCTAGACATATAAATCTAAGAAAATGGCTACAACTAACTTATCAAAACATTCTAATACTTATATAGCTGTTTTTGTTGGTAGTGAACTAATTGTATGGTGCAGTTGGATCCATGATATCTGGGTTTAAGTTTTGAAGTTTTGAACGAGTCAATTCCTGAACGAGTCAATTTCTTTTTTTTTTTTTTAATTTGAAACTTCATTCAAAATAAGCCATTTACTTTTTCCCATCTTTACGTGAACTTAATGATTTTCAGAAAAAAAAAATAAATTATAGCACATATTTGTTGTTTTGTCTAATGAAATTTAAGAATCAAATAACTATTGATTAAGCTGTAAGAATTGATCTACACAGTTTCCATCAGCAATGTTCCTTACCTTACCAGCAGACAATGTGATAACTTTTATTTTGTACTTAATCAGGATACTAGTGAATGTTCTATAAGCTGACTTGTACAAGTTTGTGCTCTTTTAGCCAATTTTGCATCCGATAGAATTTGAGTTGGAGCATTCAAGAAGATCAAATGTGCCTAGGATAGTGTACTTAAGTTATCTAAAACTACGCTTAATTGTAATCAAATTTTATTCTTTTGGATCTATTTGGAATCATTCCTATATATGCTACAAATAGGAGTAAGGTATGGTAATGATCATGCCCAAAACCAAAAATGATCCATTTAATTTTAATCAAACTTAAGTTATGCATACACATAGGAGTAAGGTATGGTAATGATCCTATCATTCCTCTATATAATTTTATATCGATTGATGCTTTACTTATATTATTATCTAGTTGTGCATTTTGGCTCATGTGGGTATTTGTACTTTTAAATTGACCCATTTAATTTTTTTTATTAATCCTTTTTTATATATGCTGTTTGACATAAGAATGTATCATATATCTAGTTTTATCCAGAAACAGAAAATAGTTTAATTCTCCTGTCCTATTCATTTCAAATTTCCCTCATGATCGAAGAAAATTCATAAAACATTTAATGACTAGTAGCTTCAAATAATATGTTATTAAATTAAAATTTCACAATTAAAATCTTTGATTAAATTTTATTAATAAATAATGTTGCATCAATGATTCCTTTACAAATCCATTCTCAAATAGGAATCTGCTCAACCTATCATACTATGCTTGAGGTGCTTGCTTTAAACCATATAATACTTTTATTGAACTCGAATATATGACCAAGATATTTTGAATCTTCAAATTTCGGTTGTTGATTTACAGATACATCCTCTTCTATTATGTTATTTGAAAAGGCAATTTTTACATCCATTTGATTTAACTTAAAATATTTGAAACATGAAAAGGCTAAATAAGAGGGATAGTGTTCTCCTTGAAGCCAAATCCTTTAATCTGACATAAATCCTCGAGCCTCATTTTACTTTGTTCCTATCTACTATACCAAAATCATTCAATTTATTCTTAAAGGCTCATTTTGTTCATATAACATTATGATCTCTGGGTCTAGGCATTAACTTCCCAATATGTCTAATGCATTGATTGATTTTATCTTCGGCTAGTGACATAATTCTACTCTTCCAGAAGGTTTTTTTTTTTTTAATACAAGATATTCCAAAACTTAAGTAGTACCTACATTAATGATTTATCAAATTTAACATCTATAGACTCTTTAATGACTCGACTCTTTTTATTAACATTCTAAATGATTTTTTTAGTTATCGAATAATTTTAGAAAGTAGGCTCAATTATATTTGGCATTAAAATTTTCCTAGCTCAAATTTTCATCGTTCAATACAAAATATTTACACCTACGTACGTATAGATATGGTAAGTTTGGTGTTCTGCCTTTTAAATAATTCGTATGATATTTTATTTGACATAGACTGAATATTTAGTTTATTTAATACATAACAAGCTGTATGCATGGCTTTTGCCCAAAAGTATTTATATAATTTGTATTTTTTAGCTTAGATTGGACAGGCTCAACTTATGCTTTTTATTTTCTTTCATTGTTACCATTTTATTGAAGTTTTATTGGAATTGAGAAATTATATGCAATTGCCATCTTCACAAAAAAAAAGTTCATTTTTTTCATTTTTTGAATTCTCTGGCATTATCATTATGTAGTGTAGAAATAAGATTCATTACACTCTTTTGAATCCATATTGGTAACAATTTTATAATCATAAAACGTGCCACTCTTATGCATTATAAACCTCACTCAAGTGAATGTGGCATATTCGTAAACATTGATGAAATCATGACTTGTCACCTAGACTAACAAAGCTGATAGGTTCAATAAAGCCTATATGTAAGATTCGTAAAGGTCTAGATGTAACTGTAGTCCTGATGGAATGAAGTGATTCTTTGATTTTTCTCCCAAGACATCATGGAGACACAAGTGATCATCTGTATAATGAAGTTTGGAAGAGTGATTCTTTTATATGTATGCATTGTGGCATGGCAGTTTTCCATGCCATAACTACGGTTCCTCTAGTATGATTTCCAATCATTCAACTAGTTTCAGTAATATTATCGATGTAGAAAATAATTAAACTGGCTCTTAACTATTTATAATTAAACATGGCTCCCAATAGAAGTGTGAAAATGTTTAGAAGATTTGTGAATTTTTTGGCTTATTAAACTTTTTAATACTATTTTAAAAATTGAAAAGATGTCTGAGAAGTAGAGGAAGATTATTTTGGTCTCTATATTTAAGAATAAAGGGGATTCACATTAAAATTATGGGAGAATGTAATTGAACGTAGGTCAAGATCTGATACAAATATTTCTCATAATCAATTTGGATTTATGGTGGGCAAGTCTATCATGGAAGCTATACATTTATTGAGAGGTTTGATGAAGAAGTGTAGAGAGAATAAGGTGGATCTACCTATGATTTTTATTGATTTAGAAAAAAAACTTATGATAAGGTTTTAAGAGAAGTTTTTTTTAATGATTTCTATATAAGAAAAGGTGTTGATATGACTTTTATTCAAGTCATTAAAGATATGTATATTAGAATTGTTACTTGTGTTTGAACAAAAGGAGGGTTGACCAAGTATTGTTAGCCTGGATTATAAACCTGAATTTATTGTTTCTACTGCAGGCCTGCGTTAAGAGAGTTGAAGCGGATGAAACTGGCCACAAGCACTGCACGGGGCAGTACTTCGATTATTGGCATTGCATTGATAAATGTGTAAGAAAATCTCTCTGGACATTTCGTTAAAAGGATTTCAGCTTGCACTTTTGCTTTTGGATCTGGAATTTTTTTAGTTCCTGCAGGTAAACTGATACACTGTTGTTTGATTTTGTGTTTAGGCTGCAGAAAAGCTTTTTGATAAGTTGAAATGACGAAGGATGCTGTTTTAACTGATTTATTAGTCTTTGTGCGACGAGCCTGAAGCTCTTGTTTTGTTTTGTTTCTTCAGAATAAGTGCCACTTTTTCTATCAATTGCCACGCTGAAATGCACGTTTTTTTGCGATACAGTTTTCTTTTTTAATATATTAGTAATATGACCGCATTCTTATGTTATCGAGCTTTTTTACTCTCCATGACTGTCAATTAATTATTCCTTCTCTGCTTAATTGTATTAAAATAATGACAATATTCAAGTAACTCCCTAAATTTTTGGAATTTTTTTGTGCTCATTGATTTCTCTGGCTCTGAACGGCATTCTTAGTAACAATTTTCCTTTATCATTTTGCTTGGAACAAAATTCTTATGCAGCATTGGATAAGTACTGTGCAGTAGTTCACAGATCTTAGTTTTATTCCCTTTTGGTTCATAATGTGGTTGAAACTGAGTTAGTCGTTTGTGACTCAACGTGACTCAACTTGACCTTGATTTGATGGATTGGTTGTAAGATTTTGGCGATTCAAAACTAGCAAAGACCAACACAAGACACTACCTGGGGGGTGGGGGTGGGGGTGGGGCAGTGCAACTTGTACAAATTTCGGAAGACTAAACATTTACTATAATGCAAGATTATCTTATCTTGCCGACTCGCATAAAGGACTGATGTGGCTTCTTTCTATCTTAAAAGAGAACAAAAATTTGAGTTTCGGTCATCCGAATCCAATTGAACAGGCTAAATCGGGGAAAAAGAATAATATGCCTTCCTCCAAAAGGCTGCATGCTAGGGTGGTCAAGCCTCCTCCAACATGGGCTCTCTTCTGGGCGTGATTTTTGGTTTTGGTAATCCAGACCTAGTTCTAAGGCCATACATGGAAAAAGTGGGGTTTTGATAATCTATACTTAATCATGATTGGCCAAACCAGATGGAAAGGAGTACAAACCTTCCTCCTTAAATAGTTTGGAAGGTTGGATCCGTAAAACAAAGGGAGCATTTGCCAGAATGTATGATCATCTTATCTTCTCTTACATTCCCTCACTACAGGAAGTTGATTTATTCTCAACTATTAGATTATGTTAGAAAATATTAGAAAACCATCGGTTAATAAAAATATGAGGACTTCTCAATGGTTTATTGGGTGTAGCTAATTCGGTAATCTTGTAACCTATGGACTTTCTGACGGTTTTTATCTGCCAACGACTAACTAATTAGCAATGGTTGCAGGTTTATGCTAAATGCATAATATTTGATAAGCCATCAGTTAATCATTGAATATATAAATGACACGCATTAGTCGTCGGTTAATATCAAAAATATACCTGTACGTTATACATCGACAATATACCGACAATCAGAGCCATTGGTTAATTCTAAAATGAAAAATTTGTAGGTTTCTCAGGTTATTTTATAGATTGAGTGATTGAGAAAATTCGATCGCTTTATCAATATATCATTGCGAGACTGTCATTTATTCTTCGATTTAGTAATTGATGGTCTTCAGCTGTCGGATCGAACTCTTATGCACTGGGTCTGGCGCTGTTGAAATTTTTGTTACAAAATAAAATAAAAAAAAGATTAAAGAAAATTAAATTAAATTCAATAATTATTTGAACTATATAATAATTACTCTTGTGACTTACATGGGTCGCCTAAGATTTGTTGTCAACCCAAGTTTGGTCCGACTGTCGCTTATGGGGTATGCTTATGTAAGTTGGAAACGGTGAGCTCTCGTCCTAACTCTAATGTTTGTTAAGATAAGAAAATTGTTATTATATATTTAATTTACAGTAATATTCAAGGCAATGCACAAATTAACTCTTGCCAGCCTCCTCTTGTATTCGGTGTGTGGGAATGCCTCACCATTGTACTTGGAGGCCCCTACACTTCCACAGTCATAACACAAATTTTCTTTGATTTGTTGACTCTTCTTGTGTTAATCCAGAGCATCCCAGACCCTGAGTAACGCGTCAAACACATTCTCCTTGAGCCAAAAAAGGCACTTACACGTCTTTCATACCTTACTGAGCATGTCATGAAGTTGGTCACTCCATTTGTGCTTAAAGTTTTTCTTAATGTGTGCATTATGCTTGAGGCGCCGAGAGAATTATTTTTGTATAATAAATTCAAATATGTTAAATTGATAAAAAAAAAGTATATGTAACTTTAGAGTAATCTCTTAGGTATATGCCCTAAACTCTCTAAATCATATATACCAAATTATTATCAGAATCTCCTTTCATGAATACCTATAGCTCATCGTACTTACACCCCGAATGATATCCCTGATAACATGAATAACCTATATATAGGGATGAAATCTGAAAATAAGATATAATTTTTTTTATATTAAATTTAAAAAAATATAAAACACTTTTTCCACTATCTTAAAAAGCTTAAATTTGCCCCACAAACTCGAGCTCAGAATTACTACTTATGCTGCCTGATACCTCTTAATCAAAAACAGCAACATGATGCACTAGTAGGTGGTGGTGGTGTTGGTACGGTAGAAGGAGGGGATGTAAGTTAAGGTGTGTGTTGAAGGTGATAGCGTCGAGGTGGAGACCTGTAGAGATGACTCAACAAAAACACTGGCCATTGTGGAGAGCTACATAGAAGTGTTAATATTCACAGTAGTGCTGTCTCATCGTCTGATAAGGGCCTTCCTCCCATACTGACCCCAAGTATGTCTCCGCATGGAGGAAGATCATTCCTGTCTTTGGAAGCCACCTATAACAATAGAAGAAAAATTAATTAGTGCACATAATTTTAAACCAAAATACGGTGTGTAATCTAGAGACTAACTAAACTAAAAATAAAAATTTACACAGTAAACAGAAGGAGAAACTGTGATGTACAATCTATTAATTACCGTAACTGAAATATTAGTAAAAATATTTGGTGAAACTACAGACAAAATGTAAAGCACAATCTACAAACTATTAGAATTGAAAACAGAAATCTACACAGTACAGATAAAGTGAAATTGTAATTTGAAATCTATAAACTAACACTATTTAAAATATAAGTAAAAATGACATATGAAAGTAAAACAAATTATAAGGTGTAATCTACAAACTATCACAACTGAAAATGTAAATAAAAAATATTAGATGAAAGTACATACCAAATATAAGGTGCAATCAATTAAGTAGTTTTTTATTGTCTTAGAAGAATTTTAGTAACTTACGCATATTAATCATTCTCGTGTAATGAGTGATTAGATGATATACTTAAATTTCATCATCTAAAGCATCAATTGTCATACTCATTGAGAGTAATTTCTTTGTGTTCGCCACTGACATTCTATAAATTTATCTCTTCATGGGTAGAATTGGGTGTAATACATAATTTTTGTCATTTCTATTTCTTGATGAGTGGATTCAATAGTATGTTAAATATCAGTAGTCGTTCTAGATTTATTCGTTATGACTATTGTCAGTCAAATTGATTTCTTCTTCTATCGAGATATCAAATATAATATATCTTTGTTTGTCTTGCTAGAATGAAAGGATCAAATTTAATATATCTTTTGTTCATTTTAACTTCTACAATATTATAGAGTTAGTTTACTCTTATTCCAAGATTGAGAACATAATCAAACAAGTCATTGTTGAATATAAATGCACTTCTTTCAATGAACTCATGATATTCTAATGGAACAACTTCTTTGAGAATCTTGTAATAATATGTTTTGTTATTTGACATATTATTTGTTTTAAAGCAAACACCAGAATTACTAGACTTTTTTCATTCCGATGAGGATATTATATGATATTTGTTGCCACACATCATAAATTTATTAAATTTTCACGATGCTCATCAGTCCCCAATAAAGATCTATTAAGGCTTAATTCGTTACACCTTTGTTTCAATCATGAATCTATGAATTCATAAAAAAAATCATGTTTTTATTATTTCATTCAAAATACTTCTAAATAGATATGTTAGATGAGCACAACTTATGTTTGATGTAAACTATTGATGGAAAATATTCTTTATCTCTTCTTCTTCATGTGAATTTAACGAATCTATAAATAAGCTGTTCACACATTCAAAAATTCATGAATCAAGTGATAATTATATTTGATTGAAAAAGGATGAAAAAGTACTAGTAAAAATATCTTACTCAATATAGGGTTGAACTTTGTCGTAATTGAGAATAACATATAGAGTCATGACTCGAAGAACTTGATCACTGAGATAACGTGATGTGCACTTCTCTGATGCTTCACTTAACAATTAGAAAGCATAAAGTGTTGAGCGAGGCACCACACCTAGTGACTCTTTGGTGGGATCTTCTGGGCCCAAACAGTAGGAGCAGAAGGTCGTAGTCTCCTATAATAAATATGCATTGCATATTTTGCATTTTGGTCGAGCTTTATTCTTCATAGTTCTCTTTAGTTTATTAAATAGTTTATAAATAAATTATTCCTTAGCATAATTTGACAATATTTTTAAATAACTACCTAATGAACAAGTTATTATCTCAAAGATAGTTACATCTGGCGATACTGTAGTTTTCTCATTTACAATGTTGAACGCAATAGTTGAGAAAAATAATAACCTGATCAAACCTAGTGTCGTTCTATCAGACACTTTTCATTCCTCTATAGGCATAGACTCAAGTTTCCTTGTGATTCCTTGTAATGACAAATACAATTTTTTTTTTATACAACAAATCCTCTACCTGCATCATCCAGAAAGCAAAGTTCATTCCATTGAACTTCTTCACCTTGAATCTTGCTTCTTCGATCATTGCTCCCCCTCGAATTGATCCCCACTCTGATACTTGTTTGTTGGGAGAAACTACTTCAAAAGAATCTCCTTTTAGTTTTACGGCAGAATATGATCACATGATTCGAGAAAACCAGAACAATAAATTTAAGCACAAAAGCAAAATAAAAAAAAAAACCAGAAAAACATATAAGAATTTTATGTGAAAAAACTTGAGAACGGGAAAAAATCTCCTTTTAGTTTTACGGCAGAATATGATCACATGATTCGAGAAAACCAGAACAATAAATTTAAGCACAAAAGCAAAATAAAAAAAAAACCAGAAAAACATATAAGAATTTTATGTGAAAAAACTTGAGAACGGGAAAAAATCACGGAGCCACACTACCTCAAATTCACAATAAAAATCAGATAGTTTTACAAAGGACTCACACAAGTTACTACACCACGCTTACACGAAGAAACTTATGATACGTTCCACAATTTTCCTTCTCCGATCCGACGCAACAACACACGTCGGGATCCTCCTCTCTAACTCTTCTCTTCTTCACATGAACATGTTGAAGAACACCCGAGAAAGTCTTAAAAGATACATCGCTTGAAATTGCCTTAAAACGAAAATTTTGTGTACTAACTGCTCTGGGCGCAACAGCACCTGACCTGGGTGCAAATACGCCCATCTCTTGTGAAGTAGAATCGCCCCCAGCATAGTTGGGAGCTTGGGCAGTCCAAGTGAGGGCATAAAGGTGCCTCCTCTCTGTCGAGCGCCTAAACATGGGCGCAAAGGCTCCCCCTTTCAGAAGCAGCGTACATGGGGGCGCTTTAGTGCCCATTACACGTCGGGAGAAGTTCTCGAACTACTCTAGGTGCTTAGGCTCCACAAGGCTAACATTGTCGATTTGCCGAATGAGAAAGGCGGAGCAGCACGAAAATTTTTAAGCTTTTATGCCCTCCTACAAAGTCCAACGAATTAAACCAATTACTAGTTACCATTTTACATAAACAAGTTATTTCTTCTACAGATGTCCCTCCGGATTTTGAGGAAAAAAATTAATAAAAAGAGAAAATTTCCTTCCTGATAACTCCAGACCATATTATTATGAAATATCGGCGATTTTCGTTGTTAATATCTTACATTTTGACTATTTGTAAACTTGCCTTCTCTTCTGCGTAATCTGCATGTCATGGTATCGTACATTATGATTTTTCTTGACGGTTTTGCGCGATAGTAAATCTTCTTGAGAAATTATTTTGTGAATCAGCAATATCTGTAGCACGTTCTTGTGGGGCTTGAATTACTTCTAGATATATGCATTAAAAGGAATATTTAGCTTTTTTTTTTTAATTAAAATAATGATATTTCTGATGTGATATGAAAGATTTGAATGATATAATCTTAATAATTTAAGTGTTAGATATGTAAATATGTAAGAGTTGTGGGGTATGTATGTAAATGCCCCCATTTAATTTAAATTAGAAGCTAAAACATGATGGAAAACTCATTATTGTGCTCATAAAACAATTGAAATTAGTTTTTTTAGATTTGTTTAAACTTAGACGCCAACACTGTCATTATCGGTTCCAAACCCTGATGTGAAAAGTGGAGGGTTGAGTTAGGTAGTGGACAACCGGCTTAAAACTTGTTGAAAAATTTTGACATGAACCCTTTTGATTATTGTGTAAGTGCTAGGGCGTCCCCTGAAAGCGACGACATTTATGGCCTGAATGCCGTGAAAAGTAGGCAAGGGCCGCTGCACCGACACCTGGTTGTAATGTCAAATAAATAAGAGTACCCACATTACAGACAAATGCGGGTAAAGAAATTAGTCCATTAAACACATATGATTGATAGAAAATTGAACTTTTAAATGATCTCATAAATTTCCAACTTTATTTTCAAGCATTCATTCCGGTTCTTTTAGCCTTGAATCAAAAAGCTTAAGGTCTCAAGACCTGCCTGATCTAGTTTACTCTTTTTAATTACTAAATCAGTAAATATATAATTATATTGTTCCAATTTAAATATTTAATTACTTTAAAATCTTAGAATTAGGTTAAGATTCCATAAATATTGTTTTTAAGGCTCAGCAATAATTAATTTTATATAATGAGACACCAAATAAATATTAAAGTTAACACACTACCAAATTTCAATAGAGCCCCACCAGCCACCATGGCAACAACCTTCCCCTTCTATAAATATCCCTACCAGTCCATTCTTGAAAGTAATAAATCCAAATTCTCCATGGCACTCTGCTCCGGCTGCCTCTTCATCCACTACACCATCACTACCCCCAACTCCGCCGCAAGTCACTCCCCTCTCTCCTCTGCTCGCCGGCGAGCCGTCCGCAAGCTCGCAGTAGAGTTCTTTCTGAGTGCCGCCATGGGTTTCATGTGAGTTCATCAACTGATCGCTTTTAACCCAGCCCACCTGCCTGAGCTGCCGCGTGTGCCTCTTTGCCACGAGTTCAAAGAGCTCCCCTTGTGGCGAACCGGGAGAGGTGGGTCGAACCGGCATTGAGCCGTTGGAGCCGTAAGGATTAGAAATAGGTTACCGATTGTAGTGGAATTGGCATGGGGGTTATTGTGATTTTTATGTGTAAATTAAATTAATTTTATTAATTTTTTTTGTATATATTTTTGTACCTTTTATTCTATATCAAAATATTTGGCATGAGTGATGTAAGATGACTAGCTCATAAAATGTTGTTCACATAAGAGGGCATACCTGAGCATACTTATCAAAAAATTAAATTAAATTTAAATTTTTACACATAAATTCAAGCAATTAATAACCAACACAAGAGGTTAGATAGCTAGAAGGACAGCAACTACCTAGCACTGCAAAAATAAAGCAAAACAGCTACTAAATGAGATAAACATGGCTAGTTTGATTACAAAGTGAAGTGATAACAAGCCAAGGAGATAACAAGGGAAAGTAAACACAATAAGAATGGTGTGGGGGTGATAATTAAATTAGGAGATACAATAGCTATAACAAAGTATGATCACCTCAAAATCTTGTTTCAGCAAAAAAAGATATATATATATATATTCATTTCATAAAATCAATTATAATTTAACAAAAATATCTCATAAGTTTTGAATATAAGGTAGCAAATATTATGATTTATAGTCAACCCCCTTTATACATCTCTTTTATTAGGGACAACTAAGAATATAAATTTAAAAACATGGTTATAAGGGTTATTGCAGAAGGAATTAAGCCATGCAAAATTAGAGCTTAATAAATGACTTCAAAACCAAATTTGAATTGATTACATCAAGACACTATTTACCAACGTATGAATAAGTTTTATTTAAGCACGTAAACAAGTTGATTCAAATTCAAATCATGCCTCACTCGAGCTTGTATGATAGCTAGAGCTTGATTCAAGCTCACTGAAAAAAGTAAGTTCTTGATTCAAGCACACTGAAAAAAGCAAGTTGATCTTCTATCTTCATTTTGGATTTGATCTCTTTGCTTGATAAGCTCGAGTCACAAGCTTTTTAGGGAGTTGATTTTGAGTCAACTCATTTGTCGGCTTTGCTCACTTAACACAATTGCTTATACTCTTAGATATCTCGATGAAGCTCAACAATGGTTCCATCAAACACCTAAAAATATATAGCGACCATCAAGCACTCTATGCATACGCTCATGGAGCGATACACATCTCTTCTTTAATTATGGGGAGTCTTGAGCTTATCCATTATGGTGTACGAGGACCAATCCATCAATTCTAAACAATCTCACAACTCACTCGGGGCAAGACCTTTTTCGCCACCATTAAAGCACATAATCTCATAATTTTAATTTTAGATTAGTGAAAATATCCAAAATTAATATAATCCACAAAAAAATATAATTAGCAAAAATGCCAAAACCTGAAAAAGTGGAAGCCACATGAGAGGGCATACCCCAAACCAAACATATGATATAGAATAGAAGTCAAAAAAATATATACAAAAAAAAAAAAAAAAAAAAAACCAATAAAATTAATTTAATTTACGCATACAAATCACAATCACCCCATTCCAATTCCGCTACAATCGATAACCAAATTCAAATCCTTCCGGCTCCAACGGCTCAATGCCGGTTCGACCAACCTCTTCCGGTTCGCCACAACCGGAGCTCTCCCGGCTTGTGGCAAAGAGGCATACGCGACAGTTTGGGCAGGTGGGCCGGGTTAAAAGCCACGGGTCGATACAACACACATGAAAAATGTGGCAACAGTTAGGAAGAAGCCGGATCTGCTCGCCCGGTTCGATCACCGAAAGACAAATAGCGCACTCCGAACCTGACCCGACCAACTTAAGCCCAGGCGAGTAGAACTCGACTGGGAGCTTGCGGATGGCTCGCCGGCTGGCGGCTGCGGCACGGGGGAGGACGGTGGGAATAGAGGGGCGAGAGTGGATGGTGAGGCGGAAGAGACACCGAACGATTGTGTTGAGTGCAAGAGCACAGATGAAGGCCGTGACTAGAGCGGCGACGATCATGATGACGTTAGAGTTGAAGGTGGAGGTGGTGGAGGAGGAGTCACCGGCGGCGGAGAAGAGGGGGGAGTGGCTTGCGGCGGTGTAGTGGATGAATTGGCGGCGGGAGCTGAGTGCCATGGAGAAGTTGGATTTGTTATTTTATGAAGGGACTGGTTGGGATACTTATGGAGGGGAAAGGTTGTTGCTGTGGTGGTGCCTTGTGGGGCTTTATTGAAACTTGCTAGTGTGATAACTTTAATGTTTATTTGATGTCTCATTATATAAAATTAATTATTGCTAGTTATAAATAATATTCATGGAATATGAATCTTAAACTAATCCTAATGTTTTAAAGTGATTAAATATTTAAATTTAAATTGGAAATATATAATACTGTTTTTTTTTTTAATTTTGTATTAAAAAAGAATAATTAGAGGAGATATGTCATGGACCTAAATAAGTGCTTTAAATTAAGTTGAGAGTTTATGAGATCATTTAGAAGCCCAATCATTTTTGAATCATGTGTGCTTACTGTTAAAATAAATGACTTAACTAGATTTATGTAATGAGTTCATGATTATCAATGTTTTATATCATTAAAAAATTATGATATTTAAAAAGTATTATATAAACATGATGGGCTAATAAGGATTGTCTAATTAGACTGTTCGTGTTACTAATCAAAATGATCATAGATTGTGTTCAAATACATTGCACATTGGTTGTAAACAATGTAAAGAATTCGAATGAGTTGGGGTTTACAGCTTACGTTGTCTCAAAAATGAAAAATTAGAATAGATTTTATTTCGCACATCTAAGGAAGCGCTTATGAGCGGCAAGAATAAATGCGAGAATCAAAATTTGCCTACCAACATCTTACATCCACAGATGACTGTCAACGACATCTATAATTTTCATGGAGGTCGACATTAGCTATCAAGTATCAACATCACTATTGACACTCTCTATAAACACTAGTTATAGCAAGTGTTGTTGATATCAATATTATTGTGTGCCGAAAGATTCACATCAATAAAGTGATATTTAATGTTTTTGCATTGCACAAAGTTCGAACACACACGAATAATAGAAAATAGTATGAGTAGACACTAAGATTTTTACTTGAAAAACTCTTGAAAAGGGAAAAATCCGTAGGGTCTAGCCTAGTCAAAATAATCCACTGTAAGATTATAAGTACATAAGTCCAATCTTCTCTTGAATTGGAGAACATAGAATTATAATTTTGTTACTTACATAGGTACAATATTAGTTTAGCTATAATAACCATAATTGTGCTACAACAAACGTGATTCTAGGCTATAATAGTAATCGTTAGCCACAAAGGCTAATTAGTTGCTACAAAAACAATAGTTGGTTATAAAAGCTAAAGTCGATGGATGTAACAGCGACAATCGGCCATAGAGGCTATAAGTTGTGGCTATAATAGCAATAATTGGCCAATAAGCAGTAATTTGAAGTTGTAATAGTGTTAGTCGGCAACAGAGGTCGTGGTTGGGGACTACAATCACGTCAGTTAGATGTTGAGCCCGTAGTTGGAATTTGTAATAGTAACGGATCACATAGATCGTAGTTGGTAGTTATAAGAGTGTCAGATTATCAGATAGATCATAGTGAGAAGTGTAGTAGTAACTGACCACATATGTCATAGTTGTCAACGAATCTCTAAATCTGCTAGGAGGCATGTCGATTGATCACATAAGTATACATGTTGATCAAGTATTATAAAGATAAAGAGTCTATATATCAATCCCATGAGAATGATTGTCAAAATATTACTATCAAGGGAACAAAGAAAATCCTAACAATCCTAAAAGAGAAGTAATGAATATAGAAGTAAAAACAAATGATAGTAGTAGAACATGCAGGTAACAAATTTGAGTACTTAAGAGGTGATGAGACTCATTCTCCTCTAACATCGACATAATGTTTTCTCTATATTATTCCCATAAGTTTCCTTATGTGATAGTTAAAAATTAGAAACACAATCCTTCTTAACATATGTCTAGGTCATTAGTAGAGTTGAAAATCATATTACAGTTAAGAGAGACTTAACCACGTAGTGTTTTCTAGTATTTTTCATATCTTATATCTAAGTTGTAATTTCCTAATGACAATATGTATATTCTACTAGGCCATCATATGTTAACCTACTTATTTCCCTAGACTATGGGTAGAAGTCCTAAATCACAAGAAGTTTTAATATCTTAATTAATCGGGTTAGAAGTAAATGAATATCAAAAGATTAACACATTAACATGCAACATTCAATGCGCATAAAACGTTTACATGAAAAAATCAAGGTGAAAACAATGAGAAAAAAAACCCAATCTATACATCAAAGGAGCAAGAAAGCAGGTTTAGTTAAAAGATATGAGGTAGATAAATATGAAATATTTAATTAATAACAAAATAGAAAATATGTGTAAGAAAGTGCAAACTTACAACCAAGTTAAGTGCTTTCAACAATACACCACGCTCTCATCTTACAACGATAAACTCTCCTAGATCTTACACACACAATAATGCTCAACCTCTCTCTCATGCACAGTCTCTCAAAACTCAAAAGAAAATTAACCATAGGAATTTATACCCATAGAAAGAGAGAGAAATTTTAGGTTGTACCAAATCTCTTATTATATAGACAAAGCCCTCAAGCCCATGAAAATTTTTTGTCAAATTAGGTACTGAATGGTGACAACATAACTACGCCCATGGCCGACATAACTACATCGCAGTTTGGCATAGCTACGCTAAGGTCTGATGTAGTTACGCCAAGGTCTGTCGTAGTTACGCCTATCACAAAAAATGCACTTTTTTGCCTCTTTTTTTCACTCCACTTTATATGATCAGCACTTTTAACTTACAAAATATCACCAAAATACATTCTATAAGCATAAATCATGATAAATATGAAATACAATATGATATTTAAAGTAGAAAATCAACAAAAATTTGAGTTATATCAATTCTCCTAAACTTAGCTTTTATTTACCCTCAAGTAATCTCATAGTTAACTGGAATCAAATGTTGTTCATATTTCTTATGTGGGGCTTTCTAGTTCTCAAACAAGTTCATTAAAATGTAATTACATATGCAAATATCATTTCAGAGTCATATTATTATTAATCTCTAACAACATAACCCGTTCATTAGCTCCCCTCCTTTTAAGCTTGGGCATATCTCAAAACTCTTAATGAGGTGTGATTGCAATATTTTCATTCTTAAAAAAAATTTAAGTCAACTAATTTTCAATCAATAACTCTAAAATCCCTTGATTTTGCTTGAATCTAATATTTCAAAATCCCATTAAAACCGCTTTTAATTTTTATCATTTAAGATAAGGGTTAGACATATTTTTTATTTTTCATGCTCAACCTCAAGCTTCTTCTCAAAATTACTGGGTACTTCTTTTTCTTTTGATTTTTCTTTTTGACTAAGTGCCTTGTGTACTTTTTTCTTTTTTTTTTTGAAGCCTAAATTTATTTTTACTTTCACTAAGAATTACTATATCTCATTAAACATATTTATTTTAAAAACTTTTAATATCTAACTTCCCCCCAATTGCTCTTCCTCAAAGACTTTTTAACATAAATTCTATAAATTAAAGTCAATTCAAAAGTTATTATTAATTAAACTTTTTAGACTAAAAATCTAAAGGCTAATTATCTCTGGTTAATTACTTCTATTTTGATTGCACCTTTTAAAATATTATTAGACATTTTAACGTTCGGATATAAGCTGTTAAATTGAAGGAATCACTTATTAGGAAATCAATTTTAATCTCCCATTTTAATGAATATTTACATCTTTTACTGAAAATTTTGTATAATCTAGTCAAAATATTCATATCAGGGGAAGTTTTAGTGTGTTGCACTACTGAATCTAGTTGAAGTGATCTAATGCAAGAAAGAAATTCTTAACAATCCTAAAAGAGTAATAACAAAAATTAAAATAAATGCAAATGACAGTAGAATAACAGACATGTAACAACTTTGAGTCCTTCAGAGATGATGAGCTCATATCCCTGTGACACCGGTATAGTGCTTTCTCTATTTTTCTTCTATGAGTTCCCTTTTGTGATAGTTGAAAATCAGGGACATAATCTTTCTTAGCCCTAATCTAGGTCATAAGAAGAGTTGAAAATCATATAATAGTTAAGAGAGACTTGACCATGCAACATTTTCCATGATTCCTGGGATCCTCTATCTAGGATGAAAATTTTTAATAAAAATATGTTTATTATTTTGAGGCATCATGTGTTAGCCTACTTGTTTCACTAGGCAAGATGTAGAAGTCTTAGATCACAAGAAATGTTAGCATTCTAATTAATCATGTTAAAAGTAAAAGACGATCAAAATGCTAACTCATCAACATGTAGAATTGAAAGCATAAAAAAGTTTTCAGGAAAAATCACAGTGAAAAAAACAAGGAAAATCATATCCTTACATCATAGGAGCATGAAACTAGATTTAGCTATAAAACTTGAGGAAGAAAAATATGAAATATTTCATTGAAAACAATGAAGAAAATAGGTGCAAGAAAGTACAAACTCACAACCACGCCTAGTGCTTTTAGCAATACACAATGTCCTCAATTTACAATAACAAACTCTCCATGACTTTGCACATAAGAACGCCCAACCTCTCTCCTAAGCACAAACTCTCAAAACTCAAAGGAAAAGTAGCTCTACAAATTTCTCCCCAAGGAAAGAGAAAGATAAATCTTAGAGCTTGATGTAGAACCCTTATAACTATTTGAAGATGGTCTCCAATCAAACAACTACTTCCTTTAGGTTGTACTAAAGTTCTCCTTATATGGGCAAAGCCCTCAAGACCATAAAAAAATATTGCTAAAATATGTTTCGGCTAGCTGACATAACTATGTTGCAGGTCGATGTAGCTACACCAAGGTCCTGCTTAGTTACACCAATCGTGCATTTTTTTTGTCCCGCGTTTTGGCTTCGCAATGTACAATCAACACATATGGCCTACAATATATCATCCAAATATCCTTCACAATCATAAAATTATGAAAAATAGAAAAAAATTGATAATTAAAGTAAGAAAATAACATCAATTTGAGTCATATCAGCCACATAAGTTATAGTTGGTATCTGC